ATCAATTCTCATTGGGTTATAAAATCAAATAGAGTTCAAATTGGTTTGTTTGCAGCTCTTTAATGTAAAGGTCACATTAACATGACAATGAATTCCTACAATTCCTCTGTAGAAATGAACATGTGAACATGAAACACACCTGCAATGATCAACTTTTGTAAATGGACATTTGTTTTAATAACAAAGGTGTGTGAGAGGAACCAGAGGATTCTCTGAGCCAGACAGAATCTAAAGTTGTTTTATTTATTTTAGGGCTGTGATCTCCCAGTGCACTGGTCAGTTTATTGGTCAATGTGTTCTGGCTCCACCAAGAAATCTGATTGGTCGTCTTTTTTAAAATTCATTTATTTTGCCTTTCAATGCTGAGTTGTTGTCTCAGACCATGCATGGATTTTTGCGACGACATCCCGGTTTTCCAACGATGTCTTGGATTTTGTTGATCCGGCTCGAAGGACCAAGTTATGTCAGGAAACTTTCTCTGTTAGATAGGACTGTAAGAAAATGCTAAAACACAAATAATTCAAATAAAGATCAAATAAAGAATCAAGTATGAGATCTCAAGCTTTAAAAGTTTTACTTTCAAGTAAGGAGTTCAGAACAATGGTTACATTCAGAACTGCACTGAGGAACTCCTCAGTGCTCAAAGCTCAAATACAGTTTTACAGACACATCAATGGTCAGAACCTTAACTCTTTACAGCCATGTGTACACGCGCCACTTCTGAGCACTGATTGGCAAAGGCTGCTCCAAACAAAGATTCTCCACCAATAGAAAACATGTACATGTGCTGAGCTATTCTGCTCAGTAACTCAGGTTAGATCAAAGACATGGACTTTGGAGTCTTTTCCTTTTTGATGTTCTGTTTTCCTCATTATTTGGGCAGAGAAACTGGTTCAGGCCGGTTCTGTGACCTGTCTCTATCTCTATCCGTACCAAACACCATCCTGATATGTAAACCATCAGCATGAAAGATTGAAGAAATGTATTAACAATATCTTAACAAATAGAATCAACACAATACAAACAAGAGCAGCAGCAACAGTGGATATAAGTAACTAGTACTACTATATGTAGATATTAGTAGATTGGATTAGTGGGTTAGTAGTAGTAGATGGTTGTAGTAGCAGTAGTAGTAGTCGGTTAATAGATGATATTTGTTATACATATTTCATTTTACAGCAGGTGGCGCTGTAGCCCTATTGTGGGGCGTTGTAAAGAAGGCTGTGGTTCTCTGACACTAAATACTGAAGGCAACATGGTTTGTTTCCTCTGACAAAGTCTAATACACAATATGCCATAAGCAGTTAAAACCATGTGAAAACCTTAGAAAGAAAAACACACCACAATAAAGTGACCTGTGTCCTGGATCTTCCCTGTCATTGTTGTTTAACAGCCTGACAGTGAGGAGGATGAATGAGAGCAAAAAAGACCTGATCTGTCTGTCACGTGACAAATGATACGAATCTACCAGAACAAACCTGTGCAGCAACAATCCTGGTAGAGGAGAGGTGAATGTAAAATTCATTTTGACAGTTAGTGAGACAACACTGCACACATCTAAGGGACGCAAATAAAGTTCAAAGGGAATAAAGGTAAATAAACCAAAGCACCATCAGTTTGGTTCAGTTACGGTTCCTCTGTATATTGAAGACATAGAACGCTGTGTTTCATCCTCTACGTCTGACTGTCTGGAAACGTCCTCAGTGTCTTTTTTTGTAAAATGCAACCAGACTTCAGAACACCTCAGCCTCCAGACCACGGTGTAAACACTCTGAACCAAATGAGGGAGCCTGTCTGTGATGTCATCACAGCATCATCGTGGAATCAGTTTCCAAGCAGACTGACGAGTTGAATGGACCGTTGAGAACCAGTTCTGTACCAAACCTCAGTCCTGTCCACATGGTCCATTTGACACATCAAGTGAAGTCACCGTGTCTCCACAGTGTGGCAGTGCTGAGCTGCAGCAGCAGAGGAACTTTGTCAGAGTCACAGCATTGAAGCTGGAGCTCCTCCTCCTCCTCCTCCTCCTCCTCTTCTTCCTCTTCCTCCTCCACCAGTGCAGTGGTGTCAGGAAGAGAACATCTTACAGTCATCATGGACACAGGAACCATCACTGTCACCAACAACTGTTTGACTCCACGTGTGTGACTGTTGCTCTAAGACCAGTCAACACCAGCGTGTCCTCAGGATCATCTTCTCATCTTATGATGAAGATCCACAACAACAGAAGAACAAAGTCTGTTTAGAGCCAAAGTCAAAGTGAAATCCCAGAAAACTGACAACAATCAACAAGCTCACCATGACGGTGTAGTGACCACTGAGACCACCGGTACTGCTACAGCTACCAGCAGTGTGAGTTATGCTCAGACGTGTAATCAGAGATGGTACACAACAGATTCTGGACCATGACCAGAGTGGCTGAAGTTTGAAGATGGGATAATGTTTTGTATCTCATGCTGTGACAAAGCAACAGATAAAAGATGATTACAAAGAGTCAAGTCCTCTGGACTGAAGTTCTGTCTCTTTTCCAAAGTACAGTGGAGCTCCAAGATACAAGCTACTCCAGATACCAAGTAAGGAGTACTTTTGCAAGATTTTCCCCGTGATACGAGGGAACATCAATTTACGAGTGCTCAACTGAGCTCCATCTTTTTTTCCACTCGACACTCTCGCTGTCTCCCTTGCTGGGTTTTACACATGGTACGGTGCAGTGTGATTTGGGTGGCGGTCGTGGAGACTGCTGCCCCCGCGACCCGGTAACGGATAAGCAGTTGAAAATGGATGGATGTTTGTTTGTTTCAGGTGTTCCGGTAACCAGAGGTTAAATACCAGAATCTTCCCAGCAGTCAGTTAGAACTGAAGACAAAACTTGGACAAAACATGGATTAAATACCCGCTGCTGAAGAAACTCTACTTTTCTCTTTGTCTTTTCTTCTTTATTCAGGTTGAGGAGCTGCAGTTTGTCAGAGATCAGCTGTTCTTCTCTGGTCTCAGCTCTGAAGTCCAACCCCTCCCATCTCAGGAAACTGGACCTGAGCTACAACAACCTTCATGGTTCATCAGTGAAGGTTCTGTGTGGTTTTCTTCAGAGTCCACTCTGTGAACTGGAGTCTCTGTGGTGAGTTCACTGACTGTTACTGTTGTAAATGTCAAAGTGAAGCTGATTCATCTTAACACTCAGATGAACCACTGATTATAAATGAATGAATTCTGGTTCCAAACTCTGATTGTTTCCACTCTGTCTTCTCTCAAATGGATCAAAGTGTTTTTGGATTCACATGAATAAAAATGGACTCTTTTTCTGATTTAATGACAGACTTTCCACCACTGATCCACTGGTTTGTTGGTTTATAATCTGCTGAGTCAAGTGTGTTTCCAGCAGAATATAATCTGATCTGATCTGACCTGAACTGAACTGAACTGATCTGATCTGATCTGATCCAATTTCACCTCCATCTCCAACTGTCTTAGTATAAAAATGAAGATAATTCTTCTTCCACTGTTGGACTAATCTAATCTAATCTCAGTTGATATGATTTTATCGAAGCTAATCTCATTTGATATTTTATCTGAATTAACCCCATTTAATCTAATCTCATCCTTTTAAAAATATCTTAACTCATTGAATGTGATCTACTTTGACCCAAATTTGTATTTTTTCTAAAGTTGTCAAATCTAATCTAAACTAATCAGTTAAAAACAACCAGGTTAGTAAAGGTTCTGCTGCACCAACATCTAATCTGTTCTAATCTAATCTCAACTTTCTGATCCAGTCTAATCTGATCTAAACTGATCTAAAGTAAAATATTATAATTAGAGATGCACTGAAATTAAAATTCTTGGCCAAAAACCAAAAACTGAAACACCAAAATAAATAATTATTCCAATATTAGTACCATTGTAGTTATGGCTATGACTGAGGCACTGCAAATGCATACATTAATATTAATGTTTCAAAGAATAAAACTACTACAGAATTATAAAAAATATTTATTTAGTACATTCCAACAAAGCACGATATAAAATAAAATTCCAAATAAAATGTCAAAGTCGACCCCACTTCTGTGTACATGTAAAGTACAGGTCTTAGTTAGCTGCTCCAACGGGACAAGAAGAGAGAGAATGTTCTCTATCAAGACCCACTGGTGTGAAGTGAAGGTCACGGGGAGCTCCTGGTCTGAGCTGTATGCAGCCAAGACAAAGAGGCTTTCCTTCCTCTCATATTCAGCACAGCCATCAGGATGTTTGGGTTTCAGCTGAGAAATTAAACCTGACCTGGAGAAATGCTTTGCACAAACCCCCTCAACCCCCCGCCCTTAAACTTTCAGCATTTTACAAATCACTATCCGTGGGTCTTTCCAAAATATATTGACATGCGTCCACACCACAGACATGTTGGTTCTACCAGACAAGCCCACGCTGGCCGCCGTTTGTGCCTGTGTCTTCATAACTTCCTGTTTCAGTCTATGTAGATTCTCAGTCATCCAGGTCATGGTCAAGGTTGAAGAGTTGTGTTCGGCAACTGGACATGACATTTTCTCAAAGAAGACGTTTCACCTCTCATCTCTTTACTCCTCTCTCAAACCATCTGTCTTACCTGGCCAAAATGTGAAAATTGTTGTCCTTGAGGGGGATGTGAACAACTGAGTCCTGTCCTGAGGAGTTGACCCTCCTGTGTTGGACCATGGGCCTAAGAGGTCAAAGGTCTTCTTTGAGAAAATGTCACCTCCAGTTTCCTGACAGAACTCTTCAGTCTTCCTGTTTCAGACGTTTTGTTTTGGTGATAAAAGTGTTTCGATGCATCCCTAATTATAATCTGTTCTAATTTAATTGTATTAAATCATAGCTGATCTAATAATAAATATCTGTAATAAATGTTTAATAATCCACTAAATTCAAGAAAATCTACTTTTCTCTTTGTCTTTTCTTCTTTATTCAGGTTGGAGAGCTGCAGTTTGTCAGAGATCAGCTGTTCTTCTCTGGTCTCAGCTCTGAAGCCCAACCCCTCCCATCTGAGGAAACTGGACCTGAGCTGGAACAACCTTCATGATTCATCAGTGAAGGTTCTGTGTGGTTTTCTTCAGTGTTCACTCTGTGAACTGGAGTCTCTGTGGTGAGTTCACTGACTGTTACTGTTGTAAATGTCAAAGTGAAGCTGATTCATCTTCACACTCAGATGAACCACTGATTATAAATGAATGAATTCTGGTTCTAAACTCTGATTGTTTTCACTCTGTCTTCTCTCAAATGGATCAAAGTGTTTTTGGATTCACATGAATAAAAATGGACTCTTTTTCTGATTTAATGAAAGACTTTCCACCACTGATCCACTGGTTTGTTGGTTTATAATCTACTGAGTCAAGTGTGTTTCCAGCAGAATATAATCTGAACTGAACTGAACTGAACTAATCTGATCTGAACTGAACTAATCTAAACTGAACTAATCTGATCTGATTTCACTTCCATCTCCAACTGTCTCAGTGAAAGTTAAAAATGAAGATAATTCTACTTCTATTGTTGGACTAATCTAATCTTATTTGATATAACCTTATCTGAATTTACGGCATTTATTAATCTAATCTCATCCCTTTTAAAAATAACTAATTGAATGTGATCTACTTTGATCCAAACTTATCTAGTTTTTTTCTTTTTTAGATTTGTCTAATATAATCTCCAACCTTCTGATCCAGTCTAATTTGTCTTTCTTTTCTTTCAGCTTTGTCCCTTTTTCAGGAGTTGCTACAGCAAATCATTGATTTCCATCTCTCCCTGTTCTCTGCATCTCCTACTCTGACTCCAACTATCTGCATGTCCTCCCTCACTGCATCCATATATCTCCTCTTTGACCTTCCTCTCTTTCTCCTACCTGGTAGCTCCATCTCTAACATTCTTCTACCAATG